ATATATATATATATATATAACGAGAAAACCACCTAAAACCAATTTCATCCACTTTGGAATGTCTACACCTCAACCACACAAACCCACCAAGCTGTCCCCCTAAAATCTTTGATAAAATGTTTAAGCAGTAATAAAACACTACTGTACAACTCCGCAGTACTACTACGAAAACGACCAAATATAACCACTTCCCTCCCAAAAACGAAAAAACAAACCTTGACTTACCGCCCCAATTCCTGCCACAGTTTCCTTTACCAAATTGGTTGGCCGGCAGCTTCAATTCAAATTCCATGCATACAAGGGAAGGGCATTACACTACAAAACTTTAAAAGACTTACAAGCAGACGAAGATTGCCTACATGTACTATTTTAGCTGGAATCTTTCGCCTGACGCTGCCAAATTTCCATTCAAGGAACTGAGTGGACTGCTAAAAAATCCATTATCTTCTGCTGTCAGCCCTCAGCCCTCATATACACCGAATACGCAAGAAAGCAAATTCAACCCAAATAACAACGTCCCGGAAGTATATAATCCATACTACAATTTCCACTTAATACAAACGTCCAGCAACATCTCTCTTCTACGTCTACTTTTACTTCCACGGCAAACCACGTACAGCAAAATTCCAATCTGCAGCGGCAACAACAACAGTTCGTAACTCTATTGCACGAAACCTTCATTTATTCTCAATCAAAATGTCCTCAGAATGTAACTTTTCAACTTCTGTTTAAAAACTAGGCTGCAATTTTACCAAAACCTTAGCAGTTTATTAGCAGCAGCAAGATTTTGCCAACGCTGTATATTCTTAATTTCACCGACAATTTCCTCTGATAAAACAATGCTTATTTTCCACTTCTGATTCACTGTGAGCTAATCATTAAAAAAACAAATTTGAATAGTTTTGTAAAATTTAGACCAATCATTCAAAAATAAAAACAATAAAACGAAACATAAGACGTGCCTACGGCGCTATGCACCACAAAACATAAACAAGATGAGATCCATAAACGCAGCGCGCTGCAAACAATAACCACTTTATGCATTTAACGGATAAATTACGCAAGAAACAATGTGCAAAAAAAACCAATAAGCGCTATCAGCACTTAACAATCGCCTTAACTCAAAAAATGCAAGCCAATACGGATTTTTTCACTTATAACAGCAAAAGTGCGCGAATTCACCTGAAACTGATAATATACACCAAATTCAAAAAATATAACTCAAAAAGTAGAGATCGCTTACAGAAACAAGAGTTAGCCAAATAAAAACAACATGAGTACGAGAGAAAGTCACTAATAATCAGTCACCGCTCTTTTGAACGACTGCTGCGCAACCAAAACAATTTAAACACGTGGTCCGCAAAGAAAAAACAACATTTCCATTCAAAATCTCAATGTTATAAAAAAAATTATTCATAAAATTCTAGACAAAGTATTGCTAAGTGCAAGGGTTTACAAGTGCTCTAAATTCTCTCACAGTCTTTACTTAATAAAATAAAAGGCTGTAGACCTGTACCCCGCGATTTGAGTAAAAAAACTAGGAATGGACACAGATTTGTTAATAGCATATCTTAAGTTTTAGGAAGAAGAGTTTGAAACAATTCAAAAACGCCTTCAACTAGATAACACCTGAGCCTAGCCTAAAAATTAGAAAGTTTAGCAATACCTCCCACTTATGCAATATAAGTAAAAAAACTTTCACTGAGTCCACTGTGATCGTGAACTGTTGGACCAACTGGAGTTTGGGTAATAACCAGATCCTCCGTTACTCGCACCACCACCAAATGAGTCGCCAGCAACTGGTGGTACACCTACTGGTTGGCCACCAGCACGTCCTTGCCGGAAGAGAACAAACAAATCTTCATAGCGCTCGCGTTCATGTTGTAATTCACGCTTAAGGCTTTCAACTTCTTTACTGAGTTCCGCATTTTTCCTTTCGAGCTCGCGCACATAATCCTCAGTTCCCAGATCATATCGCGCACGCTTCGCACTAAACGCGGCAATACTATCATATGCTTCACCTCCCCCACCGTACGGTAATGGGCGTCTTGCCCCAGCATTGACAAACGGTAAAGGACCGAATGGAACACTCAAGCCCGCTCCCATAGCACCACGTGTGTGTGGACCTGGAAGAGGGGGAATCCCGCGAGTTTGGCGACGTCTACGTTCGCGCTCTTCTTCAATGTTGATGTGCCAGTAGCGACATCTTTGAGCGCCTCGCGAACAGCTACCAGTCTGAAATTCCTTGCAAAATGGAATTCCATTAATAGTGTCACCATTATGCACTGCCGCTATAGCTCGCGCCAAATTCAAAGTCACCTCTCCCGTCTGTTTGTAACGATCAACGTCATCCCGATGTGCATGAACAAAACGACAGTTTTCTCGTTGACAACCGCGATTCTAAAAGAAAAAATAGCAGTTAAAACCTCACTGTTCAAGTTAAAATATGAGAGTCTTCGGCAAACATTGAATTAAGCGCTGAAGGCGTTTCGCCACTATTTAAGAAAATTGAAAATATCAAAGATAAAAAGTCAAAAGGACTGGAACACAGAAGTTGAAAAAATTTTAAGGTGGAAATTACCTGAAAGTCAATGCAAAAATTGTACTCTCGACCACTCGGCGATGTGTCTCTTCCGCGCTGGCGTTCAATATTTTCCGGGTGATAGAACTTGCAGCGTGACCCACGATTGCAAATGTTTTTTAAAAAGTCCCTATAACACTTAGGCAAATAAGATGAAACAACTTGTTTAACAACTGAATAATTCAGCACTGAGCAAATTCAGCACTCCAAACAAACAGAAAAATCATCGAAAGACGACCGAAACCTCAAGATCACTTTGAAAATGTGTCACTGAGGAAGAATTTGACGCTACGACGGTGAAAAGAACATTTTATGAACTCTACAAAGCGAAAAATTCTATACTAGTATATAATTAACTACAAACCTGCAAACATCGTCCCGCTGAGCACCATTATTTTTTTTCTCTTCAGTTTTAATTATTTTAGAATCTTCGCCTTCTCCCATTATTCAAATGCGAAGTGCCACAGCAAGAAGAAACTAAAATGCGTATGTCACAAAGATGGAACAATTGAATTAAGCGAATACCGAACCAATTCGATCCTATTTCTTAGGTAAAAAAAAAGCTGGAGAGCATCACTTAATGAACTCTAAAATTGCTCATAATAACTTTGTCTGTAAAAGCACTGCGTTCGTGTACAAGACAACGATACGTTAAAGACTTTTCTAGCTGGTAGTATGTATAAAATACATCTATATTAAAAATGAAAGAAATAATTTTAGTTTTCATCATTTTCCAACAAAACGCTATATATCCCTTGAAAAATACGCAGTAGAAACCTCGAAAGAAAAAAGAAAAACAACTACCACGAAAACGGCACACGCACTTATCACCAACAGAAAGTCTCATAGATGCAAAAAATAACAGGCAAAATATTGCTTCACTGGTGTTAAAAAATTTCGGTCACGAAACCAAACTCCTGAAAAGTTTTGTCTACTGAATTCAGAATAAAGTGCAGGTAAGAAATAAACAAAAAAATTTTTTTTTGTCACAGGAATCAAAGTCCACTTCCACCCCACTGTAACATTCTTCTTCTACATAAACTGATTTTCATGCCAAATCAAGAGAAACCTTAATCCACCTTCCTTTCTCCTTCGTTTAAGTAACAGTACCAATACGACGTTAGAGATCATTAACGTTTGTAGCGACGCCGGTACCACCACCATTAGCCATAACAATGACAGCATCACTAGCCGAAACAACAATAAAAAAAAAAAAAAAAAAAAAAAAAAAAAAA